AATGCTAAAAAAAAAAAGCAAAAAAAAATATAAAAAAAGAAGCTTATTTTATATGTACATTTTCATGATCTGTGTATATGCTTTCTTTCGGTATTTTTATGTGTGGAGGTGTAGTAACGGTGTGGGACCTCAGATAATTCTTCAGAGCCAATGGATAGCAATAACCTTGAGTGCCTACCATGTTGGCTTTTTCACATATCCCCTGTAACAACTCTTTGACATAATTATTCCAAGTCTCATTCATATGAAACTACCGAGGGTAAGTAAAATCAGATTGCTTTTCTGAAGTGTCTGTGAGTTTCTTTAGTGTAAGAATTTCAATTTTCTACCACCTAATCACTACATAGAGTAGTTGCTGAAGAAACAGCAGGGATACTAACTTACTTTCCTCTTTCTACAGTACCTTGGCCATGTTGAAGTTGATGAGTCAAGAGGAATGCACATCTGTGAAGAAGCTGTAAAAAGATTGAAAACTGTATGTATTTGATAGTTGCCAGTACTGATCTGTATACAGGCCATATTTTTCACAAGATTGTGCTCAGTTAATATTAGTAATCCTGTGCCACTAAGAGCAGTGTTTCTCATAAGGCCAGAGGTGTGGGCTTACTGAAAAGAACATCTCATGATATCCTATCTCTTCAATTTTGGCCAAACATTGTCCAGAAGATGTTTTTGCAATTTATATGAAGCAAGTAGCTTGAAATCTGATAGAATAATATTCTAGTACCAGGATAAAACCATTACAATTAACATTAAATCTTCTGTAGAAAACAGCTTTCAAAAAAAGAGATATGTGTTGATGCCTGATAATGGTTTTTTGGGGGAGAGGTTCATTATTATTTTGACTCTTGCTTCCCAGTTTCCTCTCCACCCTCCTCTAGCGTAATCAGCCTATTTCCATTGCTTTGACATAAACTGTAGTGCACTGGGACTGGAAAACGCCTCCCGGACTGTGCTTCCTTGGCCTGTGGTGCCACAGGACACGTCAAGCATGTGTCTGTGCATGTAACCAAAGACAAGAGTGGACTCACAGTTCATAAGGGTTCAAATGAAAGTGCTACTTTCATACTTTGATGTGCTTGAGGAATGGTCCGTAGATTATTGTAGCTGCCTTTGAACCTTCCTTCTTTCCAACACATGGCCACTTTCCACTTTGCTGCAAAAAGCTTTATGCATTACTTCTGCATGCCCTTGCCCCAAACAGCATTAAATACATGTTGCTTTGGGTTTGCTGGTTTGGTGGGCTGCCACAGGTTTGACTACTAATGAGTGCTTTATTTCTCAGTTTGCTTAATAACTAAACTTTTCTATTTATTGGTACACTCCAGTGATGGCGAACCTTTAAGTGATATAAACAGTCCACTGTGCACATGTGCCATAGGCTTGCCACCACTGGTATAGTCTCTGTTACCTCTTATCTATAATCCATTAACATAAAATGGATAAACTTTAAAAATTATCTGAGAGGTAAATTTTATTTTGAAACAAATGTCTGAATCTATTGTGGAAAGGAAAGGAGGAGAAAAATAACTGATAGTAGTATACAAAGACTAAGTAGTAACAATAACCTAAGTAGATACAAGAATACTTATGTAGTCTTATATATACCTGTTTATAAACTTTACCTCATAGTTTAGTCATTTAAACCCAGGGCTTTGTTAGGTTTGTTTAAGAAGTTTTATTTTTGGGCCAGGGAGATGGCTCAGTGGAATAACACTTCCCTGGCAAGCGCAAGGGCCTGAGCTCAATCCCCGGTTCCGCAAAAAAAAGAAGAAGAAGAAGTTGTTTTATTTTTCTTTTTTCTCTGTACTGGGGATTGAACCCAGGGCCTGGCACTTAGCTCCACCCAACCCTTTTTAGTTTTTGAGATAAACTCACCATCCTTCTGCCTCAGCCCTCTGAATACCTGGGATTATATGACACGCTACAGCATTTAGCTAAGTGCTTAAATGATGAAGCCCTTCCTAGTTTTTATATCCTTCAGTTCATCCATAAGGTTGAGAGGATTAATATCCAAGTTAAACTGTAGTTGATAGACTTGCCATGTTACCTGAATGTATTTCCCAATTAAATATAGACTCAGATAATTTAATTTTCCACTTTCACCAAGCCAATTTAAGAGGAAGAGAAAAATTCAATTTTTTCTTTTACAAAAAATGTTTAGTTCATCTAAAAGAATAATAAGATGAGTTTAAGAACATCTTAGATTTCTAAATTTCTGTGTAAAAATATGTGTTTATTCCTATTTTTTAATTATTTTTTTCTTCATATTCTGTAAGGACTTAAAGTTTAACATATCAATACTTGATGGAAAATACCTGTTCCATGTTATGCCCAAGATGTTTGATATTCAGACAGATAGTTAGGGTAAACTGAACTGCATATGTTACAGGGTAATAATAAGCTTCTCTTCTGGAGGGTTAACACCTAAACTTGCAAATCAAAAATTGGAGAAAAGAAAGGGCTGCAAGGTCAGCCAACATTTTTGCCCTAGCCTGTCAGTCAAGACTCAGGACATAGGAGAACCTGTACTGTAACATCATGTAACTCAGTTGTGCCCAAATTTTCTGATCGAGGAGATCATGGAGCCACACAGGAATGCGATGAATGATGTAGAGTGCGCCTGGGGAGAGTGACATGGAGAGAAAACATTCTCTCAGGCCTTCACAGAGAGCAAATTGGTTAAGCAATGGCCGTGAGTCATCCACATGGCTGACACTGACAAAGGATCTACAAAGTGCGGTACAGGGTTTCAGGATAAATCCTGAGGGGACTTGACTGACCTTATCCGATACAAAAGTTACATTTCTTGTTATATAGGTCTTGCTTTATCTTGGTCTTAACCATCCAGCAGAAAAGTATAAAAACGAGGTATATAAAGTAAAGCCATATTAATATGCTGAGCTGTGAAAGGCTCAAGTCAACAACTTTTGTGGATAACCCACTACTATTGTGGACTACTGGACTGTGTTGGATTGTTTTGCAGAAGTCACGCACCTATAGTACTTAGATGCCAATGGAATACCCATTTCTGACAGGACTAAACAAAAAAAGGAGATACAGAGGAAGGACCATTTTGTATCTTTATATGCAGAATAGTTAGGATAGATATACAGCTACTTTCGCTTAATTCAATGAGAAGAAAGATTTGTACTAATAGTGTTTGGACAGGATGTCCTCCTGCCTGCTTCTTGTATTATGGATAACCACTAAGAAGATAACAATGTACAATGTATTGATTATTGAAACTATCCTGTTAGTCAACTTTGAAACTGTCTCGTTGATATTTGTTTCTCAATAAAATAAAAAAGGGCGGTCAAGATAGCTCAGCGGTCTAAAGCACCCGCTTAGGCAAATGCACAGGGACCACAGTTTCATCCCCGGCACCACATGCTGCACCAGCCCCGCCCCCAGGGTGGGCTGAGCTGACCACAAAAAATTAATTAATTAATTTTAAAAAAAGAGCACCTGCTTAGGCAGAGCACAGGAGCCAGGATTCCTGCCCCTGGGGCGCACTGAGCCAGTGATTGAAACTGGGCGTGGTGGCGCAGGCCTGTAATCCTGGCCCTTGGGAGGCTGAAAGCAGGAGGATCACTACCGAGTCTGATCTGTGTAGTGAGACCCTGTAGACCCTGTACTAAATACATTAAAAAAAAAAAAAAAATCTTAAAGTTGGATGTGGATATGGTGGCACATGCATGTGACCCCAGCTACTTAAGACACTGAAGAAGGAGGATAACAAGTTCAAGGCAACTTTGACCCAGTTTTAACAGGCGGTGGAGTTAGAGATTTAGTTCAGCTCTCCCAGGGTTCCACCCCCAGTACCATTAAAACAAACAAACAAACAAAAAGCAACCATAATAAGCCCATGACTTGCCGCACATAAAAACTATTTCTTACCCTTGTATTACTGACAACTGAAAACAACAGACAAATCAGTAAACAGATTAGGTGGGCCTGAAACAAACTACAGGTAGTTATTAAAGTCTTACAAGTTATATACATAACTTCAGGTTAAAAGGCCACTGTGGAGTAAGTCTTTAGAGAATCTTCTCATTGAGAGTATGGTTTGGTGTTCATTCTCCAAGTAAGGACAAACTAAAGATGGTTTAAGTTTGTCCAGAAGACTTTGAGAAATGCTGTGTAGTTGTGGGTTTTTTTTGTTTTGTTTTGTTTTGTTTTTGTGGTACCAGGGATTGAACTCAGGAACTTATGCTTGCCAGGCAAGCACTTATTCCACTAAGCTGTCTCCCCTGGCCCCGTGTAGTTGTTTATTGAGGACTCAGCCCTCTTCATTGTTTCGTTTTGGCTTTGTGTCATGGTTCTGGCTCATGCCACGGCCTCATCTGGGCTGATGCCCCTGAGTAGTGTTTAAAATTTGTCTTTTAATTAGAAACATCTTTTTTATTTAGGCAGTATATATTTATTATATAACATACAAATGAACCCAGAAACTATAAGAAATATTTTTTTTCAGGCTTTATTGTTCTCATTAGCGTCCCATGTGGTGCCTGGTGGCAGCAGTCCTCTTGGGTCCTTTGCCACACAGTGCCTCAACTGCCTCATCTCTTGGTCCCTTTTGCAAAACCTTGTAACTAAAATCTTTTGGAATTCCACACTTTTTTTGGCAGAACCAGGGATCGAACTCAGGCCCTTGAGCTTGCCAGGCAAGCAATTATTCTACTGAGCTATCTCCCTGGCCATGGAATTCCAGATAGGCAGTACTTAACCATGCAGCTTCAGAAACTAATTTTTTGGATTTTTTGTTACTTTACCTTTTTATTTTTTATTTTTTTGGCGGAACCAGGGGTTGAACTCAGACCTTTGCGCTTACCAGGGAAGTGCTTATTCTACTGAGCCATCTCCCCAGCCCTACCTTTTTATTTTTTAAACAACATTATTAACTATCAGCATATTTATTTGAGGCATAGGACTATTTACATATAATTTAATAGTTTTTATATCTTCAGAAATAGGAATTAGATTGCTATTTTTTAAAAATTTTGATTTTAAATTTTTGCAGTACTTGGCAGGCACTCTCCCCCTGAGCTATACAGCCACTCCTTATTCTTTTTTTTTTTTTTTTTTTCCTTTTGGTGGAACTGGGGATTGAACTTAGTCCCTTGTGCTTGCCAGAGAAGCGCTTATTCCACTGAGCCATCTGCCCGGCCCTTACTCTTTAGTCTTTATTTCCATTTTTAAAATTATACCTATATCTGGAACTGTATTTGATACATAGTAGCTAATCCAAAACTACTTCTGGAATACATACCAGTATTGGATTCAGTACTTAATATGAAGTCAAATTAAATCTTAAAATACTATAATTGTCAAAATCATATCCTATGTATAATTTTTTAAAGTTTAGAAAGCTGCTTTTGCACATCTGTACAGATCTTATTTCCCTATGGTCTTGTATGACTAAAGAAGATAGATAATAGATAGGATTTTAGGTAGAATTGCAGATTTGTATAGATGATTGATATTTTGGACATACTTAAGCTTTTCAACTTTGAGGGGAAATTGACCACTTCTGAGCTGTCATCAAGAAGTTATGTTAAAATTATCAGACAAAACCTATTCAGGATAAGAGACTTGAATAAAATATATATCTTTGCATTGGCAGACATGTATTACTAAACATGTGGCTGAATTTTTGGATGATAGTGTGGACTTCCTGTTTGTTATGCTCAATGATGCTTCCACCGTCTATAAATACCCTTCCCAGGGCCACCCTGAGACTCTCGAAGCAAGCTGGAAGTCTCCAGGGTGTTCTTCTCAAATCATACTGGATTCATAGGTTATAATTTTGATGATCTTCCACATTTTTAGTATATAGCAATGTCTAAGTGTCATTTTCTCCCCTTACCCCAGCATTCTTCTAACAAAAATCCCTGAGGATCTGCAGTCTGCTGTGCGAGATACTAAAATTATGCCAACTGCTGTGTCTCTGAAGGTTTTTATTGGCTTGATTTTAATCATAAAACTTGCTTTTTTGTGTGTACCGGGGACCAAACTCAGGACCTTGCGTTTGCCAAGCAGACCCTTATGCCACTGAAATATCTCCCTGGCCCCTAAAATTTCTTAAAGAAAACAAATATAAGGATGCATAAGCCTACAGAAATAGAACATCTTTGGAATTAATTTGAAGGTCAAAGCTTTAAAGAATTACGTAGTTAAGGACTGGGGAGATAGAAAAGCTGTATAAGTGCCTGCCTGGCAAAGGCAGGATCCACGTTCTATCCCCAGTACCGCCTGCGGTGCTAGCCCTGGAACCCCAGACACACCAGTACTGGGTGTGGTAGCACACACCTGTAATCCCAGCACCGGGGAGGCTGAGACAGGAGGATCAGTACAGTCCAACCCGTATAGTGAGACCCTGTACCATAGAAATAAAAAGATTTTCAAAAAGAAATTATATAGTTAAGTAACAAACCAAATATTTTAAAATTATATGAATAACTTTTATAAACAACATTTCTAGTACTTTTTAAATTTGTGGAAAATTGAGGAAAAATAATTTCCAAGTATAATTGTGGGGGTATATTTTTCCCCCAGAGTAGTCCCTTCTACTTTAGAATTACTTTAACTTTAGCTAGAAGCCATCTGCATATTTGATATTCTCAAATGAAAACTGTGCCCTCACTAAGGTAATTTCAAAAATATACTCCTAAGAGCATAAATATGTTTTTAAAATTCTTACACTTTCTATACACAGTGCTAGTTGTAGCTATTTCCAACTCCTTTCCTTTGTGACCTAATTTTACTAATCTGCTACTATAAGATTTAGTCACTGTAGGAAGTGGCCATTGCCCACATGGCATAATCACTTACAGAGCAAGAGATACTGTTATCCACCAGTTGGCTTCTTAAGTATGATTTCCAGCCTTGAACTGCTCATGTCTCACTCTGATCCAAATGCCCTTCATTATAAAAGGCAATTTCTTCCCATTGTCTCTCACGTGTCTCTCCCTCTGCCTTGGTTTTAGACTAGTTTCATTATACTGTCAGCTTCTAATATGTTGGGGGTTTATTCACTATTTGATGTATTTGTTTTAATGTATGTTCTTGTTTTAGCAGGTAAAAGAATCATAACTTAATTTTTTAAAAAACATTAATATTCTCTAATAACTTTTTCTGTGTTTTGCACGTCAACTTTTCTCATTAACATCTGGGGTCTAAGGAGAGGGCTTCACATTTAACAAGGGCTTTTCTAGGAGCTGTATTAAATATTAACAAATCTCCTCCACTGCCCTTTCTATCCCTCCAGAGTGGTGAATCTTTTAACTTTGGCTGCATCCTTGAAATCTGATGATTACTCACAGTTTATTAAAACCAGGGCCACCAAACTTGGCAGCAGAAATAGCCTCACCTCACTGCCATCACACCCCAGTTCCGTTATTATTCTTCTAGTTGAAGTTCAGAATATCCTGTGGGTATGCTTGATGCTATTTGTGTCTCCTACACTTTAAGGGGAAAAAAAAGTTCCAATATTTGACAGTATGGATTGAGTTCATAAATTGTCACAAACTTCAATATGGTTGTCTTTTCCTAGAGAGTTACCAAAAGTAAAAATTGCTAAGTTATGAAACCTAGTGGCTTAAACTACAGTTCAACCTAAGTAGGAAATGTAAAGTTAAGCTAGATTGGGTAAGTTAGAACCCACCTTCTTTTCATAAATTCTTGAGAACTTAGTGACTAGTTTTCATACACAGTGCTTAAAAAATGGTGGTAGAACCCTAAGTAACTATGCTTCTTATCCAGATAGTTTCAGAAATAAAAAATTATTTATTTGTAAGTGGTAATGCACATCTCCTTATTTTAAAAGAAAAGCTGGGTATGATGGTGCATGCCTTTAATGCCATGCTTCTCCGAGGTTGAGGCAAGGTGATCACAAATTCAAGGCCAGCCTAGGCAATTTAGAAATCCTGTCTTGCCTGGTGAGGTGGCACTTGTCTGTAATCCCAGCTAAGGCAGGCCGATCACTGGGAATTCAAGGCCAGCCTGAATGCATAGTGAAGTCCTGGGGTGTTGGACAGAGACAGAGAGAGGGGCAGGACAGGAGTGAGATCAGGTCTCAAAATTAAATAAAAAGAGCTGGATATATTGTAGCAAAGTCCACATGTTGCTTGGGATGTGGAAGTGCTTGTCTAGCATGCATGAGGCCTTGGGTTGAATCTCCCTGGCAGAGGTGGGGTGGGTAAGAAAGAAAAGCCCTAATTCTTAAACTTTGTCTGTGGTCCACAGACATGGTTTAGTTCTCAGATATGTTTTCTCAGCTCCAGTGTAAACCTTAGAATGTGTTTTTTATAGGTAATTTATTTTATGCCTGGAATAAAATATATCCATTATCTTCCTGTGTATGTTGTGGAATTAACACACAAATACGTGCAAACTGATCCTAAGGCATAAGGAAGCAGGAAGCCGTGGTTAAGCTCCCCGTACGTAGGGTGGGTTCTCTAGGTGACATCTTGAACTCTGTAAGAAAAATAGTACAAGAACTGTTGATAAATGCTCACAGTTCAGTTTTGCATTGCACTTGGCTGCTTTGTGGTGGTAGGGAGTGAAGCAGGGCAAGGCAAGAGCTCCGCCACAAGCACCCGCCCAGGCCTCTGGCAATTTTTGTGTGATTGTGTGATCATTTGAATTTTAGTTGATAACTTCCACGTAATTGGTCATAGCTGATCACTGATTTTTTAAAATATTCTTTTTAAGGGGACAGCTTCTTATATGCTGCTTAGGCTAATCCTGACCTCCCACACTTGAGCCATTTTCTTGCTTTATCTTCCCAAGTAGCTAGGACTATAAGCACTCATTGCACCTAGCTGCCCCTGATTTTAAATTGAAAAATGTGCATGGAACCGATCTTTTATTTATTTCTCAATACTATGAATTTAAAATGCAAAATCATACTAAACCACTGTATTGTAATCTTTCTCTCTGCTGCCAAATTTGGATAATCTCTGTTTTAAAAGTAAATAGAGATTACTGAATCAGTTGCATGAAGCCAGGTTCTGTTTTCTTCTCTTTCCATGGATTCCCAGGCCAGACAGTGTGTCTCCCTGCATTTCATGCCCCTTCCTTTTTCCTCGTCACTCCTGGTACGGATAACTCCTTACAGCACTCATTCCCTACCTTTCTCCCTGTGCCCCTCCCACTCCTGTACGTGCTTGTCGATGTGAGCCCTGGGACATTTAGCCCGTACAATAATAGCCCTCGACTTGTCCCCTGTTCCTCCAGGAAAGGAAGTTCTTCAAAGGCTTCTTTGGAAAAGTAAGTTTGATGCCATGTTCATGCTTGCTATATAAGGAGTTACACCCCTAGTATAGCACTGACAAACTCTTTTAAAAGTATAGCTTTGGTTTCTTTATAAAATAGGAATTAGTTTGACTGTGTATAGAAACTAATGAATCAGATAGTTACTGTCTATGGTATTACCTATATATCTTTGATACTAAATCTAATGATCTCTAGAGCAATCCAATAATGAGCCAACAGCCTAAAGAACTGTCTCTCTTCAGCACTAAGTAATTTGATCTCACAAAACACTGTTTATGTTAACTGCATTTTTTTTTAATTTTTTATTTTTTGTGGAAGTGGGGATTGAACTCAGGCCCTTGCATTTGCCAGGAAAGTGCTTATTCTGCTGAGCCATCTCCCCAGCCTGTGAACTGCATTTTTAATTGGTGAGTTTATTTATTGTCCAAACTGATAGAGAAATGGGAAGAGCGGAGATAGCTCAGCACCATAGATGGCTGCCTGGCAAGTGCAAGGCCCCGAGTTCAATCCCCAGTACCAAAAAGGAAAAACTAGAGAAATGGGAAGAAATATTAAATTGAAGTAAAAATTTAAGATACCCTAAATGTTGCATTGAACATTATTACATTTTCCATCTAAGTTAAATGTGAGGTGAATTCGAGGATCCCTCTGAATTTTAATCTAACTTGATAATCTAAAAAAATCTTAATTATTAGTCTTCCAACCAAGTATCTGTTAGATGAAAGGTACTTATATAAAATGCTTTCCTAATAATAATTGCTTAATGTTCAGATACCCTTAAAATTAAGAGTGTAAGGGCCAGGGGTGTAGTTCAGTGGTAGAGTGCTTGTCTAACATGCATAAAACCTTAGGTTAAATCCCCAGCATATTCAGAAAGAAAGAAGAAATACCTAAGATACCCAAACAGATAAATACATTTTTGTTTCCAAGTTTCTCATTGTTTAGTTTTGACTAAGTGATACAAAGTAGTCCCACCAAGGAGTGCTTTCAAATGAAAAACTTTTATTTGAAGCCTTTTAAATCTTCTCAGTTACCATGAGTCTATCATCACGCTAGTCTTTAAGAGATAGGCCAGAGAAGAGAATGACTTGAGTGTGATAGTTTAGCTGTATTTTGATGAAAGATGAGTGTGAAGAATCTTATAAAATAGCATAAGGCAGGATTTCTCCCCTGGCCGTGCTGCCTGACACATATAAGGCAGCCTGCAGGTCGAAGTCCAGGCTGGGCACCTTAGTGATTTAGGAGATGCTGTTTCAATTTTTTTTTTTTTTTAAAGGGCCAAGGATATAGCTCACTGCAAAAGGCCTGGGTTCAATCCACAGTAACAGGGGAAACAAAAGAGAAATTTTTGTCTAGAAACTGTTAAGAATCATCAGCCTTAGCCATGCCTGAATTTATGAGTTGTGGCCAGGATGCTCTGCTTCCTCTTTTCCAGAAGTCCCCACCTAGGTCCAACCACTGTGGGCAGCAGGGCACAGGTGAACCTTCTCGGCCAGAGTTCTGTTATTGTGAAAGAAAAGGGGGAGAAAAATGAGGACCTCAGATAAGTTTTTCCAAACTGGCTACATGAAATAGTCCATTGCCTTAGAAAATCCAATAGTGACTTGACTTTTTAGAGATTATAAAAGCGGTTTCGGTAGGTTTGGTAGTGTACATCTATAATCTCAGCACTTAGGAGGCTGAGGCAGGAGAATCAGTTCAAGTTAAAGGCCAGGCTAGGCTACATCATGAGTTTGAGGCCAGCCTGAACTACGTAGACCCTGTCAAAAAAGAAAAAAAGTGGCTTAATTAATGTAAATTGGTCATCCTAAGCAAATGCTTTATTGCCAAGGCACTTAACATTTGAAAAGAACTTTAATATATTTGAGAAACCGCATGAACTAAGTAATCTAGATTCTCATGTTATGAAGGATTTGACTCAACATAGAAAATAAAATGTCCTTAGGTTGGGTCTATTAAGTCTCTTTTAAGAACCATTTACCTATAGTTACATCAAGCTTTATAGTTTATAATGTGCTTAGACCTACTTTCTAATTTATTATTTAAAACAGCTCAGTGAATTAAACAGTAGTTTATAACAATGCATTTTATAGCAGAATAAACCAGCTCAAAGAGATCATGCAGCTGGTAATAAATGACAGCACTTACCCTGAAATCTAGCCTTTTTGAAACTTGATGCAAGGTTCTTTCACCTACCCCGTGTTGATATTCTTTCATTCAAAACTATTGACCTCTCTCAGGCCGTTGTTTTCATCTCTACATAAAATAAACTATTTCAGTATTAGAGTTCTGCTTTTGAGAGGTCTTACAGTAGAGCCGAGACCTGCAGTTTAGGGGAACTCTGCTGATAACGTGTATCACTCATCGTCTGTCCTGTCCATAATAAGAGTTTTGGACAGATTTATTCTAGTCAAGCCGTAAGTGTTGATGTGTAAGCTTGTTTTCATTAAAGAACTTTTCTATCAAAAGTATTGACCTCTGCTGATGTATACCTTAATTATAATGAGTGGAAAATAGCTAATAGGATGCTAAACAACTCCAAAAGTGAACACTTTGTAAACATACATTGTACGGTCTGCATAGAGTTTACAAATTTGAGTGAGTTAGTTGCAAATATTGTAAACATTGAGAGATTTTTCACACGTAAGAACTAGGACATCTAAAGAATTAGAAACTTCAGTAAAACAGCACACTATTTAACAACAGCGTCTTCAGCTGAGTATCCGCTGTGCCCTTGGGTTGCCTGTAACTCCGTGCTGTCACCCAACACGCTGCTTCATTTTGTCACCTGCCTTTAACCCTGTAGGCATTGGAGTTAGTGAACTCCTGCCTGGGCTAGTAGGTCAGTCCTAATGGTATTTAAAAAAAAATCAGTACAAACGTTACGCTACATTCTTGTTCTGGCAGATCCTGTTAAAGCATTGCCGATTTTTTTCAAGTTTGTGTGCTTCTATAATTATTAATGGCACCATTAGAAATGGTGCAGTTAAGTTTTGATGAATTCATGGTCAAAAAGTAATGCATGGTTGCACTGTTTTTCCATAAGACCAAGAGTAAATCGTTGTGTGGTGCTTGAGACCACTCTTCAGTCAGTGAAGTTACATCTACATTGTTCTTCAAATTTCCTTTTTTTTTTTTTAATGCCTCTGTGATAAGTTGTCCATACTGTTTTTCTTCATTCTGGATCATTTTCTTAAAAGTAGGAGCATATCTGCTACCTTTTCTCTTTTCTTCCTTCTTTTTAAATTCCCATTGCCCTCCTTGCGTAAGTTTTACCTTCTCTAGTGTTATACTAGATTTTTTAGAATTTGGCTTATTACGACAAGGGGCAGAGGGAGGGCAAAGGCAGGCATACTCATAGGCTTTCTGTTCACCTTTAGTTTCATTTTTTTTTCCTGACATAACCAGCTACTATATTAAAAGTGTTAGTCACTAACCTTTTATAGATTAAAAAAAAGTCAACCTTGAGAGTTGTATTTCTTTCAGCTGTGTTTCATGGCAGCCCCTTGTGTCTCAGGCCTGAAGTCATAGCGTGTAAAATATGCTAAGATTGCGCCCTCCATGTACAGAGGTAGCAAGAGCTCAGGTTTTCAAGAAAGATGAACAGTGTTTTGTTCTTAACCTGGTTATTCACTGGTTTTTCAATGAGGATTTCATGCCTCCTTTCCCCCTAAATCTCCAGAGTTTCTTTCTTTGTTCTTTTTTTCAGCTTTTTTCCTATTTCACAGAGAGCATAAAATCAAGTAGAGGGAAACTTTCCCGTGCCTCCCACCACTCACCTGCCTGCATCTGCGCCCCGGTGCTCCATTTCCCTCTTGTTCAAAGGATGACTGATCCGTGATCCACCCAGGAAAGCGTGGGACAGCTATAGTCCCGGCACTCGGGGGAGGTTGAGGCGGGAGGATCACAAGTTCAGGCCCCGCCTGGGCAATTTAGCAAGACCTTGTTACAAATTTAAAAATTACAGAAATTAAATTTTTAAATTAGGGATGTAGCTCTGTACAAAGCTGCAATATTCAGTCCCCGACCCTGGAAAAAATGGGTGGTAGGAAATACACCTTCCTGTCCCAGACTTAAAGCCCCTGTGCTTTTTAATAAAGCAGCCATTACAGTGTCAGTCTCAGATCCTAAAGAAAGCTGTGTTTCCCTTCACTGCTTTGGGGAATACAGTATTCACATGTATTTGCTCATTACATCTTTCAGTTCAGAAATTCAAATACTAAATTATAGACTTCCAGGCTTTTCTCAAGTGTAAAACAAAGACTGAAGCCACGGTCCCTGTGAAAGAAGTCCCGCGTTGATTTAGGACAAGGCTCGCCGTGTCTTGGTTGCCTGGCTGGTGGCGGTGGTTCTGTAATGACTGGGTTATCTCTGTACGTAGGTGTGGCAGAAAGCCCGGGCAGCGGTTCTTTACACATTGGGTACCCGGAAGACCTCTTTGGTTGGTAGCTGAAGGAACTTCGCGCAGTGCAAATGCAAAGCGTGTTGCTTAGGAGGAGCGACTTGCCCTGTGCCCCCGACCGAGCTGGGCTGCTTGACGCTCTTGCTTCTGAGTGGCTCCTAGCAAGGCCAGCTGCGCTTCCTGTGTCTTCCGGCATTGCTCTGCTTTGGCTTACGTTCCAACTTGGACTTAACCTTTCGCTTCTACCCATCACATGCCCAGTGTATGTGTCTTGCCTTTAAAGTGTCACCTGTATTTATGTTGGTTAGTTGCATGTTCTTCTCTCTTAGTAGTCTTGGAAATCACAGAATTTTCAATTTGGACAGAACCTAAGATGTGAGTCGCACTAACATAATAGGCTATAAATATATCTGTCAAAAGGATGGGACAGAATTCAGGGACATGATTTCATATAGGTGCAGTTTTCAATATAATGATTATCTTCCAAAACAGTGATATCTTTATAGAGATCATGATATTGGCAGACTGTGTTCCACTATTTGTTTTATAAAATAAGTTTTATTGGAACAAAGCTATGTTTACCCTTTTTGGG